CCATCCTTTGTTCTGTCCCACATTTCACCTCCTCACGCAACATCTATGTTGCTCATTTATCTCAATTACTGTCCCCTCCGGGGGTGGATGTCCCGGAGGTGTCTCTGCCTGCTTGTCCTGCTGTTTCCCCAGTGTCTGGCACACGCCAAACCCACACCATGGCCCCTGACCGGCCCTGCCATAGGGTGCAGAACTCTGCTCCATGGGCTGGCGTCCCCAAGGACAGCTGTCGGGCCTTTCTCCTAGTGGATGCCCAACTGACAACCTTTGAACTAGCAGCCCGGGGTCTCCGCATCTGCTCCTCCCAGGGGCCCCTGGCACGCACTGGGAAAAGGCAGACTGAAACGTTACCCCTCGGCGGGGCAGGCTGCCCACAGCCTTTCCAAAGCTGTAATCTCCACGGAAGCAGCTTACCTGGAGTGGCCAGAGGCTTCGAACCACCAACCCTGTCAGCAGCCCAAAGCTGAGCCCACTGCCCCTCAGTGCCCCTGTCTGACTGCCAGTGGCCCTTCAGGACCGGAGAGAACCTGTTCTGGGGGTTCCAAGGCTGGAAGCAGACAGCCTCGTCTTTCCCACCCCGGGGTCCCCTGGTGCATTCCAAGCACAGGCATTTGGTTAAAGGCACAGCGCTTAACCCTCCCTGCCACCAGGGCGCCTGGGGGCACTCACTCAACCCTCCACCACGGAGTCAATTCCGATGCCCGCTACCGGGGTGGGCTCCTCAGGCTGAGAGTCAGGCTCAGGGAGCAGACAGGCTCACACTCCTCAGAATCAGCTGGTGCTGGTGCGTTTGAACGGAACCGCTGGCCTTACTGGGCCGGTGGGGTGGCTGACCCACCCTGTCACCGGGACCCCTTCCCCAAGCTCTGCTCACCCCACCCACTGCCATGGGGTACTCGTGTGGACACCACATGGCAGGGTGGAACTGCTCCTGTCAGTTCCGCAAACTGGAACTCCGTTCAGAGTAGGAAACCTCGACACTCACGCAGCGGGGCTGGTGGTTTGGAACCACGGGCGCTGCTGTTAGAAGCCCAACTCCTAACCCTCTCGAGGCCCCGTGGGTGTTTGCGGCGAGGAGAACCGCCGTGGGGCGGGTCTTGGTTCCGCCCTCCCACCTCTGAGGGCCCCCTGCGCCCCCCCTCCCCGACAGGCGCCCCACCTTGGGGTCGTGGATCCCCGAGAACTCCTCGAAGGTCTTGTCCCCGACCATGACGGCGGCCAGGTTGGCCGTGTAGCTGGACAGCACGAGCAGGCAGAAGATGGCCCACAGATTCATGAGGAAGCGCCCTGTGGGGCACTTGGGCGTCTTGCTGGACCCGGTGCGGCCGAAGAGGATGGCGTAGCAGAGGGTGAGGGCAGAGGAGTAGGAGAAGACGGTGCCGCGGTTGCGGCCGCGCGGCGTGAGGCCGTAGGGGCTGCGCCACTCGTACAGCGTCAGGAAGAGCGCCATCAGGTGCAGCGCCACAAAGACCCCCAGCCACATGGACCAGTGCAGCGGCCACATGAAGGCGCCCAGCGGCGAGGCGGTGTCGCGCGCGCGCACCAGGATGCCCAGGCTGGTGGAGAAGAAAGGGCTGGTGAAGTCGACCACGCGCGAGCGCGCCGAGTTGATGCTGAAGCTGGTGACGGCCATGTGCGCCGAGCCGGCCAGCAGGTCGCCCACCAGGCCGGTCCAGCGGCCGTCGCGCAGCGCGCCGTACTTGCCGTCGCCCACGATGTAGAGCTCGAAGTCGAAGGGCGTGTCCTCGGCCAGCCGCTCCAGCAGGTCGATGCAGTAGCCGTAGCAGCATTTGCGCAGCGCGCGGGGCACCGAGCCGTTGGCCAGCGCGCCGAAGAGCGCGTCGAGCGCCGCCGAGTCGTTGGTGCCCGGCTCCAGGCACAGCTGGCCGGCCGGGCACTGGCCCTCCTCGTCCGCCTCGCGCGCGAACACGAACGGGTGCTCCACCAGCGTCACCACGCGCAGCTTGGGCCGGGCCTGGGCTCCCGGCGGCGGCGGGGGCCGCAGGGCGGCGGCGCCGGGCTCCAGCTCCAACCGCCCGTCCCACCACCTGCCCACCGTGGCCCAGGCCGGGGCGCCCAGCAGGTCCTGGCGCAGGCTCCACACCTTGAAATGGCGGGCCATGTGGACCTGGGACGCGGCTGTCACCCACACCGGCCCGGTCCGGCCATGGAAGGACGTATTCGCGAGGAACCTGCGGGCGGGCCGGGTGGGTGGGGGGGCGGGCGGTCAGGCGGCGGCCAAGCTCTGCCAAGCTCAGACCTCGCCTCCACCTGCCTTAAGCGCCCGGGTGGGCCCCGTTCTTGTCTCTACAATGGGGACAGTAGTGGACACTGTTGGTAACCCTCCGCCCCCTCTATCCGGCCAGAGGCTGTCGCCCTGAGGTGCCCCTCCGCCCCAGAGCCCCGGCCCTGCTGCCCGGCCCCTCTCCGGAGAGCCTCACTTTGAATTCGGAGAAGCGGAGCGAGCTGGTGACCAGAGGCCCGAGGCCTGAGCTCGGTGCGGGTGTGCCTCGCGATGTCCCAGCTGCCTCCCAGGGACCCTCGCTGTTTACAGGAACCCCCACACCTCCCAATCCCTGGGGTGGGCTGAGCCAGTGACTGACAGATATGGGGGTGCCAAAGCCCCCAGACTCACGGTGGAGCCGATTCCGGGGTGCAGTTCACCCTCGGGGACCTCGTGGGGTCAGGCTGAGGGTGGCTCGGCGCCTGCGCCGCCCACCACGCTGCCCTTCTCCAGAAAGTACTCGAAACCGAACCCCCTGCGGTGGAACAGCGGCTGACTCACAGCGCCCCTATAGGACGGGGCCGGAACTGCGCCGAGCGCCTCCAAGGGTGCCCGTGGAAGCGACGCTTCCTTCCTCTCGCTGCTGCTCCTCCCACAGCTGCCGGGTTCCAGCCCAGAGCCGGACCGCTGCTCCACAAGGGCCCCTTCCTTCTCCCAGACACCCCAATAAAACGTCACCCTAGCCATTCTTGAGCTCTGCTTCTGGGCCCCTTTCCCTAGATAGGAACAAAACCACCACCTTGTAAGGACAGCATAGCAAGGCCCGACGAAGTGGCCTTTGGGGGGCCCTTGAAGGAACCCTGGTCGTGCAGTGGATCAAGCTTCGAGCTGCGAACCTCAAGGTCGGTCGGTGGTTCAAGGCCACCAGCCGATCCTTGGGAGAAAGATGAGGTTGTCTGCCCCCAGCGATTTACAGCCTCCCTCGCAAACACATTGGCCTCAAAGGGTCGCTTGGGGCGGAACCCACAGGAAGCACTGGGGGTTTGGGTGGCCCAAGGGCAGAAGGTCACACACGACCACCGGCCTGGACAAACCATCTATCTTAGCAGGGTCCCACTCACCGAGCCAAGAAACGGCCCGAGGACTCCGGCCCGGCCGGCCGCGGCTCGGTGCAGTTGGCCACGGTGGGGAGCAGGGCGCGCTCTGGCTGCAGGCTGGCCATACTGCCCAGGGCGCGGGCCACAAGCTCCACAGCGTCCTGGATAGCCGCCTCCAGAGGGGGCCGGTCCACCTCACCCAGAGCCAGCAGACCGAGCGGTAGGTCCGTGGTGGGCAGTGCCTCGGCTGGCAGCGGCGTGCCCAGCAGCCACCGGGGCCCTCGGGGTACGGCCGCCAGCACCTGCCAGGCGTGGGGCGCATCGCATCCCAGGAGCACGGCCGCGGGCACCGGGGCCTCGGCACCTGCCAGCGCCCCTAGCGGGGCCAAGCGTAACTGCAGTCCTGCGTCACTGGTGTCCGGCCGGCTCAGGTCTAGGACGAGTTTCGGGGCGCGGCCAGCCCGGCGTGTCCAGAGGGCCACCAGACCCCCGAGGTCCCGGACGCGGCAGAACACCAGGCAGACGTCCTCCCAGGCATGCACCTGCAGAACGCCCACCAGCACGTCCACCAGCGTCTCCAGTGGGCTAGCCCAGTCCAACTGCAGGTGTAAGGGACTCTGGTGGCAGGGGGAAAAGCAGGCACTGTGAGAGTCCTGGCCACCTACCCCGGCTTCCCAGCCCTAGCAGGAGTTGCGCGGTCAGCAGGTGCCTGACGACCGGGGACCCCTTCTCTAACGCCTTCCGTGGCTCCCCACTGCCTCCACTTGGTCAGTGTCTGGACCCAGGCGTCCTTTTTCTGCACTGCTCCCCAGTTGGTATACCCTTCTCCCTTTTGGGCCAGGCAACTTACACATCCTCCAAAACCCACCTGCGTGTCCCCTTCGCTGTTCAGAAGTCTTCCACCTCCCAGGCAGAACCCCATCTCCCCTTCTGGGGTTCCCCCAACCCCAGGAAGAAGATCCCTAAGACAAGACCTGGCTGATGCCCCGTCAAGGGAGCCTGCCTCCCCTCCTATTGAGACCCTTTCTCACCCATCACTACCCCTGTGCCAGGCAAGGACCTCAGCAGAGGGGCTTGGGGACGCCCCAGCAGCTC